GCTTGGATCATTTCCCGCAGCAAATACTGTCAAGAAACCGCCACTCGTTCGAATCTCACCATGATCAATATATCTGAACGTGTGTCTCATTCACTGTACGCCTCTCCAACCACTCAGCCAAATGCCGATCGAATAGTCCAATAATTTGTGCACAGATCAACCTGAAGGAATATATTCAAAACTGAAAGCAGCACTCAATAAGGTGATGGTAAAAGCTACCGTTTCGATTCTTAACAACAGCCATCTTACTGAAGAATGGCCATAACGAAGTTGAATGTATTAAAAAAGAGGAAACACTTTGCCTATTCATCTATATCCAGCATATATACAATTACCTTATCGGCAAGAAGGTCTTCAGTCATTACTTCAATAAATTTGTCTGTTCTTTGAATAATTATTTCGACGAGGGACTAATTGCATACATAATTTCTGCTTCCATTTCAATAAATGAGCAATTTCATGTTGATCGGCGGGATACGAACAGACTCATCAATGTTGCCTTGAATAAAATTCAGAGAGAAAACTTTAGATTGTTTTGTTTTGTTTAACGGCATATCAACCTCAATGGGTTATTTAATGCCGACAACATTTTTAGGATAGATTAGTATGAATAGAATATGTATTCTTTGGTTTAGATTGGTTTGGTTTATTTTGTTTTACGGCATATCAACCTCAATGGGTTATTTAATGCAGACAACATTTTGAGGATAGATTAGTATGAATAGAATATGTATTCTTTGGTTTAGATTGGTTTGGTTTATTTTGTTTTACGGCATATCAACCTCAATGGGTTATTTAATGCTGACAACATTTTTAGGATAGATACGTATGAATAGAATATGTATTCTTTGGTTTAGATTGGTTTGGGTTATTTTGTTTTACGGCATATCAACCTCAATGGGTTATTTAATGCCGACAACATTTTAAGGATAGATTCGTATGAATAGAATATGTATTCTTTGTTTTAGATTGGTTTGGGTTATTTTGTTTTACGGCATATCAACCTCAATGGGTTATTTAATGCCGACAACATTTTTAGGATAGATTCGTATGAATAGAATATGTATTCTTTGGCTTAGATTGGTTTGGGTTATTTTGTTTTACGGCATATCAACCTCAATGGGTTATTTAATGCCGACAACATTTTTAGGATAGATTCGTATGAATAGAATATGTATTCTTTGGTTTAGATTGGTTTGGTTTATTTTGTTTTACGGCATATCAACCTCAATGGGTTATTTAATGCCGCCAACATTTTTAGGATAGATTAGTATGAATATAATATGTATTCTTTGGTTTAGATTGGTTTGGTTTATTTTGTTTTACGGCATATCAACCTCAATGGGTTATTTAATGCCGACAACATTTTTAGGATAGATTCGTATGAATAGAATATGTATTCTTTGGTTTAGATTGGTTTGGGTTATTTTGTTTTACGGCATATCAACCTCAATGGGTTATTTAATGCCGACAACATTTTTAGGATAGATTCGTATCATTAGAATATGTATTCTTTGGTTTAGATTGGTTTGGGTTATTTTGTTTTACGGCATATCAACCTCAATGGGTTATTTAATGCCGACAACATTTTTATTACTGGTAATATTTTTCCAAAAATTGAATTTGAACACAAAAAGGATCTTATACACAAGAATTTATCAAATTCATTAGTGATATATTGAAATAAATTCAAACACAACTTCGATCTGAGGAATACCACACAAGAGAAAGGAACTTAAAAAGAAAATTTAACACATCTATATAATAAACTCTAATGTCAGTGTGTCACGCTTTTTCAACTTTACTTTGTATCCCTGAAAATTTCAAATCTTAACGCGTTTTGAAGTATTTCAGGAGTAATCTCCTGAACTCTTGAAAGAATGTGTTCTTTCGGCTCAGCTAAACTGTTGATCTTTGGCGATAAGCCTTCGTTTTTCTGAAACCGAATGCAGTTAAATAGAAGAAGCGTTCTTGTGTATTTATTATTAATACGTTTCTGTAAATAAAATTAGAAAATTATAGACAAAATTAGAAATTTATGCACTTCTAATATATTAAACATGATAAAAGTCGGTTTTTAAAAAAATTGTGGGAGTTCACTGAGATAGAGAATTAATTCTGGGACACCTTGATTTGCTTATTGAAATATTGATAGTCCTGGGAATGACGATAAACTACATCCGACAGCAAGGCCTCTGATCAGGAGGTTTTGTGAAGTGTGGGACCACCTCTTAATTGCTGTTGTTCCCAGGTCCACACTAACCCGGGGTGATAGCGACTGTCAGGGTCCCAACTATGGGTAAATAGTAAACCCCTAAACTAGGGTCAAAACACTATGAAAGTGTAAAAATAGGTTTTAATAACAGCAATACATTTTTGAATCCCCAAAAGTATTATCAGAAATACATTTTTGAACAAAAAAATATTACCAGAAATACATTTTTGGAAAGAAAAATATTAATAGCAATACATTTTTGGAAAGAAAAATATTACTCGTCATGCATTTTTTAACAAAAAAATATTACCAGCAGTACATTTTTTAACAAAAATAAATATTGCCAGCAATACATTTTTGAACAAAAAATATTACCAGCAATACATTTTTGAACAAAAAATATTGCCAGCAATACATTTTTGAACAAAAATAAATATTGCCAGCAATACATTTTTGAACAAAAATAAATATTGCCAGCAATACATTTAAAAAAAACTATCTTACCAGCAATACATTTTTGAACATTAATCCGTAGACAGTAAATCAACCGTTTTCTGTTAAAACAGACGGAATATTACCAGTAATAAAAATCTTTTCGGCATTCAATCACCCATTGAGGTTGATATACCGTAAAACAAACCAAATCGAACTACTGATTTTGGGATATGTGTTTGGCAGAGGATTTTTCCAGAACTTTACGTAGTTGTTGTAATCCCTCTTAAAAGAAAAAAGAGAAATGCTATGTTATCAACGTCTTTTAGATCTGTATGTGACTTTTGAGGCGGAAAACAAATACAATGAAACACTTGTAGGGACACCATTTGTCGTGACAGAAGAGTAACACTTTTTTGTGCTTCTCGTAGAATTTCGCCTTGAAACAGTGCCCACGCCATTCACCTTAAAATTTGCTTGCTGTCATGAACTACAGGTTGCGCACCTCGGATCAGTCAATAGCATCGAACTCTATTTCACACGGCTAGACCTTGGCTCAATCCCTGGACATAGAATGGTCGTCTCTACTTCCTCAACACTCATCTTTGCAGATCAGATGGCCACTGAATATGAACCAAATTTTCGAGATCTCGGATTCGATGCACGTGATGTTGATTGCATAAGCAATGAAAACCTCAAAAAAATTCAGACACTTCTAAGACTTTCTTAACAGTATACAAAATCTGCTGCTGTAAATGTTTGCGTTAAAAAGTAGATCCTAGATGTACAGATTAATACAGTCATAAATTATGCATAAATTATGATATCCATAGAAAGTAAATATTATTGCAATGGTTGTATTACTATGACGTCATATGATTATGCATTATGGCGTCTTCGTCTGCGTCTGATATATAAACTGTATTCTTCTGTTATGTATCTGTTATCTGTCTTTCTGTGTACGCGTGTTTGCGAAAGACATTATGGCCAACGTCTAGCATGTACTTACGCACTTCCCACGTTTCAAAGTGAGATATAATTTACTATCCTTTCTTTTAAATTAATTGTTGACATTCTCTCGGAAATTAACAAATGCCACTAACAATTTTTCTCTGCAGAATTAAATAACGCTTTAAAGGAAAGATTAAATGGTATTTGAAATGCACTGTCTATTTTTACAGACTGGCAACTATCGATAAAATCAGGATTAGGAATTTTCACTGTATTTTTCTCCATTACTTCGCGTGCATTGTCTTAAATAAATAGTCTTTATAATAAGAACTCGTCTATTTAAGAAGGTTTATACGAAGGTTTCTAATACAATTGAGTAATTCCTTTTCTGCAGCTTATCCACACTTTGCCCTTTATTTCTGTCCAGAGTATTTTCGGGTGTACTATACAAACGTTCATCCTTGTTTTCAGGTTTTTATTTTAATTTATATAAAGCAACTCAGCATATTTGGCAAATAGAATGTGCTAATATATAGCGTTTTAGTGTGTAAATTGCTCTTGAGTAGTTTATAACCCGTTTATTTATCATCTCTCAGTTGCGTCACTGTCTTTGGGCAGAGTGTGCTCATGGGTGGTTCCGTCAAAGGACAGAGTCGCAAACGAGGAAAATGATACTGAGAGGAGCCCAGCCGTGGAGGACAGCTGCCCAAGACCGTGGCCTCTCATTGCACTAGAGAGAGGGATCGGTGCTCACACCGATGCCAGCGCAACCGATGCATGCGGGGGTTCGGGTAATTTTTGTTCCTAGCCTGGGTGTACACGCTCGGGATCCCCACATTAAACCGACCTTGTGTCAAAACTTGAGCTCGTGGGGGTGGTTGAGTAAATATAAATATATAGCGTTTCACATAATAAAAACATGTTCATCACATGTGATGCACAGAACGTATAAATCCTAAGTTATTTACACTCCGCTCTGTGCATCCCACGTGATGCAAAGGTTATAAGCATTTCAATAACGTGGAAAAATAGATGTTTTTCATTTGAGACCTTTAATTATCAGGCAAACGTCAAGTGGCCATAGATGATGCACAAAATATTAGAGTAGTCCTTTCCACAGATGTCTTGCTTAATAGTAGACTCTTTTCTTGAGTGTCCTTAGTTTTACCACTCTTTTAAAATCATGGATTGTGTGGATCACATATGATGCACGGACGTGGAAATCACATAATGATTTCTTGGTACAAGTCTTACCAATTAACCCATAGCTGGGGGGAGCTGAGTTGGATTCATGCCTTTCCAAAGGATATTTGCGCGTAAGTGAATATAACGAACCCAACGGAAATTGGAACACGATTAACAATTCCAAGCCATTATACATTACACCACCCGCACATCAAAGCTTACAGCACTTGTTATTCCCAAACGGTTACCCATCTAGGTATTTACCAGGCTCGACATTGCTTAACTTTGGTGATGGTACGGGAATCGGTATTTTAACGTGATATGGCCGTAAGCCGTTTGTAATACAAGAGCTCCTTTATTTACAAAGGTTCTTGTGATTGAGTACTTCGAGGTCTTCGGACAGCGATCAGTGCGAAGTATCTGTTCTCGAACTCTCTACCGTCTTTCTTCTCATCAGCCAGTTCAAGGAAAAGGTTTGGGCAATGGCTTCACCCAGAACGTCCATCATTGCAACAAAAAGGGAGGGTTGTTGGAATACCGACGCCAACTGACAGTGGTCGCTGAAATTGGGAAATCTTTGGCCTGGATCCATATGGACACGCATGAAAATACCAAATTAAAAAATGCCTACAGGAAATGTAATGAAGCAAATCAAACGTGGAAAAGTCATTAACACTTCTGCAGCTGTGATATGGCACATTTTAAAAATAAAGTAGAGATACCAACTGACTGAAGACAAGGAATCTTTACTTGATTTTGATACTTTTTCACTAAATACTCACTAAATACAAAGATTACTAAATGAAGTTTCTATATTGACGTAAATGAAGGAAATAAGTTCAGATTATGAGCATTAGGGTTGACGACTTTAAACTCTAGACTTGAAGAGGTTAGAATTGTAGTGATCGAGAAAAGCATCCTCTCGGGAGTTTATTCCACGAAGAAGTAGCTTTTGGGAAGAAACTGTTAAACTTCTTCCTTATTAATGGAATACGAAGAGAATGCAATTATGTACATGGCATGGCGCGTCCTTGCTGAAAATGTCTGAATTAGTCGAACATGGAAATAGCCATAGGGTAGTTATCGCCTGTCGCCTCTCCAATGCTACTTTCATAGTCCAGATAGGCTCCATTCTTTACCGTCACCAGTTTTGACCTTTACAGCCAATGTGAGCATTTCTTCTCACACAGTTCAACCCTTGGCAGAGACAAGAATGACAAACAATTCAACAAGGCCTACCTTAAAACTTAAAACAAATTTTATTGTATCCTTGCAAAAAAGATTTTGCCCTTTTTTGCCCCTGGGAACAGGGTAGGGTAGTTCTTCAATGAATAGGTAGTGTCTTTTACTTCAGTAGAACACAATTGGTCTCTACGAGGTTGGAGAAGCTGGTATTAGCTGGTCGTTGCAGGAGTTGAAACTCGGCTGTTGTCGAGATCGTTCATAAAGTTCTTCGTGTAAACGTACACATTTGACGACAGTCATTTTGACTGAATTCTGCAGCCTTGAAGGAATTAAGCTGGGACATGAAGTCGTCTCTGAAGCATTACCATTTGGTTGCTGAAAGGAATCATAGCCTAATTATTTAGGCTTGTTCTCGGGCGCTAATAGCCCTGCAAAGATATTCAAAAATGAGTCCGGACATTTCTAATAATATGCCGCAACAGGTAGAAAGGAATCTTAGCCTAATTATCTAGGCTTGATCTTGGCGCTAAAGGCCAAGCAAAGACAATCAAAAATGAGTCCGGACATTTCCAATAGTTATCCGCAACTGAGTCAAAGGGGCGCGGGCCGTTCTAAAATGCCCGCGAAAAACCAAGTCAAAATCCGACCAATGAAATTGGTCGTTACAAATCAGCCAATAGGCGCTTAAATTGTAGAATTTCTTACATCAAAACCCGCTTTTCTATGTCCACACACTCTTATTTCCCTCTTTATTCCATTGATAAGAAGATGTTCCTAAAATCGCTACATTATAAAACCGATACCCACGTGGATGCTTCCCAGGATATTATAATCTTATCCTCTTTAAGACTATGGTCATCCTTTAACTATTCTCATAATCTTCAATTTCTACTTCTTCCTCTTAGGTTCCATTCTCATGATTCACTTAATAAATCTCTCCGTTGAGTGTTTATTAAGACTTGCATTCGATGAACATTAATAAAAAAAAATATAATCATTTTATTTCTTGATTTTTGTTGGCTAGTAAACAAAACTATCTTTGAACTTTCAAAGGCTGTTTTATGATAAATTATTTTTTCATGTTTGTTGATTCTCCATTCAACAACGGAATGATGACCGGAAAAGCGTTATACATTTTACTTGATGTCATTTTTTTTTCCATATTTCGACGGTCAATATTTGTCGGTATTCTTCAGTTCCTTTTACATGACATATTCCTGTTCTCTGTTCAAAGCCAAAATGAATACTGACAATTAATTTTTTGGAAGACTGCCTCCATTTTTCTCTCGCATATTCAGTTTTGTTGTTTTCTTGGAAACGTGGGCGTTACATTTTTTAACAAATGGAAAACATGATATGTTGGTTGAAAAAAAAAAAAGAGACATTGTTAAGATCTATGCTTTTATTTCGACTATCACAACATACTTACACATATATATATATATATATATTTATACATATATAATTAAGTATATAGATAAATACAGATACAGTGTCGATATAGGAATCAACAATTCATGGTGACTGTCCGTTTCACGCTTCAATTCTAACTTCAGATTAAATGACACTACTCTTAGTTTAGGGGAAATACTAAAGAAACCAGGTCTAGTATTCACCTTTTCTAGCGAGATTAATGCTCGACAAGCGTACATATAAATTTTAGATCAAAATAAAATTCTTTTCATTTTTCATTCAAGATACTCAAATTTTAGGAATACGTTTTCACAGCGTCGCCCACGTGACGACAACGTGGCCATGTTTTAAATGAAGCGCTGATCTTATAAAACTTTCAGAAACTAAATTAGTTTCATGGTCAATCTAAACTAGAAACCACAGCAATAGAGAAATAGTCTGAAAAAAAAAACTCTTTCAAACGGAGGATGCATTCATTTAGTTAAAGAAAATGTCAGGAATAAATGTTGATATTAAAAACCAGTTCCATAATTATAAAGAAATGTCCATCCCCTTTATATGCTCCTCTCTCTCTCTCTCTCTCTCTCTCTCTGTCTATCTCTAAGGAACGATGCTACTACTACTCTCCACTCCCTAAATAAATCGGGGAAAATAAATCTAACAAAATTGTTCACTGTTTATTTAGTCTGTGATGCAGCGTTGGGAGCCTGAAGAATTGCCAATGAACCACGAGAAACCAAAGACGAAATGCGACATAAAAAAATGTGTAATCTCAAATTATACTTCTAACCATCATTGTTATCTGAGTATTTGATAGGAACCTTTATTATTTAAAAAAAAAAATACCACAAGTATAATCATCTTTTTGCGTTCATCTTCTCAACATGTGCATTTTCACATCCTTAATAGGTTCAAGGATAAAGGAGATTAATTAACGTCTTCTGTTACTTTCCTTTTAAGCACGAAACGACTTTAATTGCGTAACGTCTCCCCTTTTTGAATTAAGCGCTTTGTCTTCATTTTATCCTCCGAAAGCTGTCTTATTACCTGTTTTGAATACTGATAACACCTGCTTTCTACCAATGATATTTAATTTCAGGAAAAATATATTGTTCTATTGTCGGGGCACATATATTTTGAACGAAAGGAAGCATCATGAAATAAAAATCGAAGAAACGATAAAGGAAAAGGAAGGGAGACAACGAAGGAAAAATAAAGAAAAAATGGGGTTTAAGAAGAAAGAAAGAAAGAAAGAAAGAAAGAAAGAAAGAAAGAAACTATAAAAATGAGAATATAGAAAAAATGGGGATATAAAAAAAATAGAAAAAGTCATACGGAAAAAAAGAGGTAAAGAAACAAAGCAAAAATGAAAGAAGGAGAGAAAGACCAAAGAAAAAAGAAAGAAAGGAGGACAGAAAGAAAGAAAGAAAGAAAGAAAGAAAGAAAGAAAGAAAGAAAGAAAGGAGGACAGAAAGATCAAAGAAAGAAAGAAAGAAGGACAGAAAGAAAGAAAGAAAGAAAGAAAGAAAGAAAGAAAGAAAAGAGGACAGAAAGATCAAAGAAAGAAAGAAAGAAGGACAGAAAGATCAAAGAAAGAAAGAAAGAAAAAAAGAAGAAAAGAAAGAAGAGAGTTAGAAGAAAAGGTAAAGAAACCAAACCAAGAAGATGGCGATTGATGTTAGATTTAAATTTTTGAAGATTGTAGTTATCAGGGAAGCAAGTAAACGGTATCAAGCTCGACGGGCGGGAATTGGGAGAATTGAAATAGTCGGAATAGAAATGGAGGTTGTATTTAGCTGTTTCAACAGTAAACAGGTGGGACCTAGGTGCCAATCTAGTAGCACGCTTAAAGTCATGTAGTCGTGGCATCAGATTAAAAAGCCATGAAAATACTTGTAGAAAAGACAGAGAGAAGCCACGCCACGTCGATGAGAAAGTGATTGAAGTTTACATTCCTCGTCAGGATTAATTATATTACAGATCTTTCTTTGGATTTTGTTAAGAAACCGAGATAAATAGCAGGAGCACCAGACCAGATATCATAGCATGTGTACATTAATTACAATTAATAGAAATAAATATTATGAATATAATTAATTATATATTGATATAATATATATAATATTTATATGTAATATGTATCATATTATCTATTTGTATTACATATTTATACAATATCTATAATATATATATACGATTTATTTATTTATATTTATATTTTTATTTATTTATATTCATATATATATATATATATATATATATATATATATATATATATATATATATATATATATATATATATATATATATATATATAGAGAGAGAGAGAGAGAGAGAGAAAGGAGGTATTATATTATAATTCTACTTGTCCTACCCTTAATTATTTAGCACGACCGTTACGCCCTGCCAAAAGCGCATACATAATGGACTAATCCACCGTTTTGATCCCGTGGAAAGACAGAAAAGACACATCAGACATGCTACTTGGATTCGGTGGGAAAATAAATGAATGAATGAACGAAAGAAAGAAAGAAAGAAAGCAAGAAGCGATAACACTCTTGTTTCTTTGTTCAGGGAAATGCAAAAATCTTTTCATTTGTACGCCTTTCTTTTGTGACTGTTATTACACTATTTTGTTAAAGTTCTTCAACTCAAATAATTAACGATACGACAGCGGAATTTCTAAGGATACGCTTTTGTCGTAGAACTCGCCATGAGCTTACTCATTCTTCA